TCAGTATCACTTTATATAATACAGCACAAATGGGTTCGAAAAAGGACTTAAAATTTTAATCGTGTCAAGAAGAAAGAGCATGGCTTCTTTTTTTTGAGCGAATTTTTGATAAAATTTTGTATTTTTTGTCATTTTGACACTGTTTAGTTCGCATACTTTTCATTACTGGATTGTTGAAAATCATGGTTTAATACATAGAACATCAGCGCTTTACACTCTGGTTTCTCCAGCTATGCAGCTGGTAACTTTTGTTTTGACCAATTTTACATCGCTTCGTGGTCAAATATGTCAAAAATACACTGTTTGCTGTATTTTTTAGGCATAATCGAAAATCCTCGTATCAAAATTTAAAGAAAAAAAGAGATGCTTTTACCAACGTGTACCGGTTTTAGTGCAGCAAATATTTTTTGTTTAAAAACGGTGGCCGTTTTCTTATAGGTTGGTGCATTCGGTATCATCAAATGGTTGCCCGGTATCGTGTCTGAATTTCAACAACAATGGCACCCATCTGGCTATAGGCTACGGTTCAGGTCTGCTGCGTATATTCAACATCGCCACTGGCAAGATGGCTGATGAAACTAACGAAGTTGTTCAACCTGGTAAAGGAATCCTACAAGTTATCTTTGTCGGAAGGTACAGTATTTGCTTTTTTCTAGCAGAGTTTGTTCACCCTATTTTCATTCCATGACCACTTGAGCAGTTTTCGAAAAGTTAAGGGCATACAGCTTAGGACTGAAAGAACTGGCTAAGCCATGCTGCTTATTATCATCTCGGTTTTAGAATTGTCGAATCTTCGGACCAACTGCCCGGCCGATATTGATAGTTTTAGTTCAGTTTTGTTTTTTAGTTATTGCTGAGAATAGTATTATTATAGCAAAAATAAAACGGGGTGATTATAGTAGTCGAAAATATGTGACATTTCTGAGTTTCATTGGTCCTCTTACTCGAATTGTTATTGTTTCAGTAGCAAACGGCTTGCATGTCTGGATTCTGGTGGCTCAGTGTTTGAACTGAGAACAGCAACAAGAATGAAGTCGCGACGAACCCGATGCATATTTTCGGGTTGTCACGGAGAGGTGAGTGACCTCGAAATTTTATCCAAAAAAGCAGATGTACTTTCAATATACACAATAAGGCCTTGGACTACCCCACCATATTAAATCACGAGGGCATCCAAACAATGATGTGACAGTACGATGCAAGAAGGTGTTATTATATCGCGGCTACTTCGTTATTTACGTATATGCACTCTTCCAGAGCAGTTCCATGAATGGGCTAGACGGTTTATAAGCATCTAAAGACAGAGGAGATTTAATGTTGCCAAAATAGAATGCTCCGTTCTCAGATTCTGCTTCAGTACTCGAGCAGTACTCAGTAAATTCATTTTTCCTGATGATTCAGGAGTTAAACGCCTAGTTAGCACATTATTTTCATAAGAAATACTGGCTCATAATTAACAGACAATGATTGTCCTTACTGTAGATTAACTTACTCTTCTTCCTGTCTTCTCTCACCTTCCCTGCTTTCTCTCTTTATATTTTCTGTTCCTTTCGCATGCTCGTCTTGCAATTTAGTCACATGACTATTCAGTATATGGCGGATAGGAAGCTGTACTGATGATTCCCGTTCCCACCCATATGCATGGTTCGATCTGTGTCTACAGCTAGGGGATGAAACACAGACTGCATCCTGAGATGTCTTGTTGCACATGACACTTAGTCCAAGCCCTCTATTTTATTATGTCAATCGCTCATCAACTATCCTCATATTGCTCGATGGAGCTTCAAAGTCACCTTTTGTGAAAAAAAAAAGGCAATTGGTTTAAGAAACAGTTGTCAGTTTAGGAAGGCTGCAGGCTTTTCTCGAGCCAGTTATTTAAAAAAAGAAGCGTATCTAATTTTTCAGGTCGTATATCTGAAGATGTTGGACAACGACCGAATTCTCGCTTTCCTTTCACTGCGAAAGTTATTCCTTATCAGTTTGAAGGAAATGCGCCTAATCTATGCTGCTGCTCTTACAGGACCTGCTAATCGCCCTCCTTTGTTTGACTGGCAAGCAAGAAATGAGGTTTTGCTTGCCTTTTTGTTAATAATTTCCACACCGCAACTGTCAGAGCTAAAATCCCTCAGAAATCTTACTTTCCTTTAAGAGCCGAAAGAGGGCTGAATTGACCCGAATAGCAGGTTGTCAATCTAAGTCAGTTGTCGACAAAACTCACGATGGTGTACTTTTTTTTGGCTTAATTTAAAAAAAAAACAAATTAAGATGATTTCATTTCTTGGCTTGCACTTTTTCTTACCGAAATGAATGAGTGAATTTTTGATAGTAAACCCAAAATTGAGATTTATCAGCCATTGGGAATGGAGAAATTGACGAAAGTGCTGTAAGCAGTCAGAATAGGATAACCCAAAAAGACAGCTTGTGAAGTCACCTTCTGCTCAGTAAAATACCTAACTGTGTTGTGAGAGCGACAGTGCTTTAGGCGAAACAGTGAAATTCAAAAAACAACAAAAACAATTTGAAAAGGCTAAAATCTTGCCAAGTACGCCTGCTGTAGGAACCGCTGAGTCGGTAATTTCTTCAGAAGCCCAAAGCGACATGGAGATCGCCCGTATGGTGACCACTCGAAGATGCAACTGAAGAAGTTGCAAGTTGCTAAAACAGACTTTCTCTGATCCAAATACTACAACTATTGCCGGACGAGGAGGCAAAAAAAGAATCTGATCGTTTTCCAGGTACCACCGCTACAGAATGGCTCGAAAAATAGTATTTTTTGCGCTGGTCGTGGCTCGAAAGTTGAGTTTTTCCACATCAGCAATTCCGGTTTAGATTCGAAAGTAACTCGTTACCGGTGAGTTTTCTCGCATGGTAGAAGTATTTTTTTTTGTTTGTCAATGTATTAATGTCTTTTTGAAATATGATTATATTTTGCCTTATTAAATTCTTTTTTTAAAGGCTTTAGGGGAGTTTGCGAGTGTAGAACAATGGCATTTAGGGCTGCTGTGTTAAATATTAAGGATTCGACTTCTGCAGAGTGGGACAACTAGTTCCTGTACAATTCGTTCGATCGTTTCGATAGTAAATTGGTACTTACACATGCCAGGGTTATCAAAACAGCCTTCATCTTGCTTTTAAACAACCCTCAAATGGCTTCGCTTTTTGTAGGAAATGAATACCAAAGAGATTTTGACTTCAATTTTAAAATAACTAAAGATCATTTAAGAAACATACAGGTATGTACGTAAAAACCCACATTCAAAAGGCAACAAAGTAATTGCACGTGAAGTTTGGCTGCCCCTTTTTATTGACACTAATAACCCCGGCAAATTTGATGGCTTTAAAAGTGCTACCAAAAAAAATTCCCTCACTTTATAATGTTGAAAATTTCATGACGACTTCTGTTTGAGGATGTTGTCTTTGGATTTTGATATGATAGGCTTGATGTGGGTC